GCTCTGATTCCTATGAATAGGGATTGCATGATTGGCATAACAAATTCCCCACCCAAGGTCCACCAGTGTCCAAGGGCAGAATCCCAAGAGCCTAAGCAGTTGGTGACAAAGAGGGTAGAAGAATGAGCACATGCCCAGGAAGCTCTGGAGGGCCACGGTGATGGGAGTTGTCTTTCTGTATATATGTTTCTCTTATTGGTTGATGAATAAAGGACTGTTGGCCAATAGGGCAACAAGGTAGGCGGGTCTAGGAGATGAGGAGAATTCTGGGAAGTGTAGGAAGAAAGCAGTTGGCATGTGAGCCAGGGAAGAGAGGATGGTAGTCAGGCATTCTCCGATAACATAAGGCCATGTAGAAATACATAGATTAGTAGTTATGGGTTAATAATTAAGACAGAGCTGGCCAATAAGAAGCCCTAGCCATCTGCCAACAGTACTATAATTAATATAATTCTCTGAGTGTTCATTTGGGGTAGATGCGGCAGTGGGCCCAGGCTGGCAAGAAGAACTATCCACAACAAATCCCACCATGCCAACTCAGAAGGCACAACCATTCTGGTTTTCTAGACTCCTGTAATCACGACTCCCTGTTGGATTGGTTGTCACTTCCCCTTTCAGGCAATCACTGCAATTGCCATCCACACTATTGGCTTGGATTTCTGACTTAATTGACCAGTCTTCTTCACTGAGTGTCCATGATATCTTCATTTTGTATCTAGTGGACCCATTACAATGCCTGGCACGCAGAAGACCATGAGATACCAAACGGAGTGAAGCCGCTAATTACCTGGATGTCTTTAAAAACAACCCACCAGGCCACACCTTCAATTAAATAAACTAAAAAGCTCGATGTGCAGTTCAGGCATTAGATTATAAGCTGTGGATAAACAGACCTATTTTTTAAGCCAAATTAAACAAGCAAGGGTGTGTGTGCATGTATGTGTATGCAAGGGTGTGTAAACTATCCCACGGTGATTCTACATTTGTCTTTTCTCTTCTGAAGCGCACATAGCCAGTAGAGTGCATACACCTTTCTCCTCAGTCTCCCTTCCCTGGCTAATCTCCAAGTACATAGGTAGCCTCTGTAAACATTGTGCCTGGGGGTTTGCTGCTCTCTGAAAAATACCCCCTTTCATGATCAGTGGGTTTCTCAGGAGAAGACCCAGATTCCCACCAACAACATATCCAGGGCTTGGCTCAGTTGCACTCTGTGAAGCTGTGAAGATCAAAAAGAAAAAAAAAAGCCTAGTCAATGTAACATAGTAAGGCAACAATGAGACCAGCATAGAGCATATCTGTATCAAATTTGGTCACTAGCAAGTGCTTCCTGGTCAGTTGTGGTTATGGGGTCAGACAGCCACACTAACTACTGTTTGAGATGATTAGTCTATATTTTACCCTTCTTCCCAGAGCACTATGGGAGTTTGCCTTATGGCTCTGAGTTTCCAGGTACATTCATTCAGGTGTCCTCCAGGGCTTGTCCCCAGGTATGTTAACGAGAAAGCAATATCTTACTCACTCACTGGAAACATTGTAGCTGGAAATCTGGTAATGGAAGGTTTTGGTTTATGCAAACCATAGGTTGTTTTACTGGTTTTCCAGACATCTTCACACCTACCCACACACCAGATAGATAGATAGACAGACAGACAGATAGACAGACAGACAGATGGACATGTTCATTTAGAACAACACTTCCCCATTCCTTTGAGAGGGAGCACCGACAGTCTCTTTCTCTCTGCCTCTCTTCCCTCTGCCAGCATAGAGAACAGGATCTGACACTAACCTAGGAAATGGTCTGGACCGTTAGGAAGAAACCACAAACACCACGCCCCATTGCTCTCTCCAAGCTCCTCTTGTCAACCCTGTTATCCACCCTGTGTTCTCCTACATGAAATAGTGACACGGCTCTCTGTGTGTTCTCCCTAACATGTCACTCTAGGTCACACGGACGCTGCTTAGATTAAGAACGACTAGTTTCCCTGTCTACCTTGTCTGTTCATCCACAGCTAGAGTCACCTGACTACCACCACCGCTGGTCCTTGACAAGTCCCACTGACCAGAACAGGGTTTCCATGGTGATGTCCACTGTGAGCTCCCTATCAGCTGTCAGTGGCTCTGACTGATGTTCCGGCCCCAGATCGTGTTTCTACAGTGTTCCTACCCAGCTAGCTCCCAGAGCTGAGACATGGCCAGTGGATGTCTTGCCTACAAGTTGGGCTGAATCGGGCACATCAAAGCCCGCTATACACCTGGAAGAGAACAGACTTTCTCAGGTCAGTGAAGAGCCAGGATGGGGAGGAAAAGATATGCATGTCAGTGAGGAAATGAGGAGAGAGGCAAGGTGGAGAATGAGGGCAGGGTGTCCCAGGGCAGGAACTGGACACAGGAAGTATGTTGCACACCGAGTAAAGGAAGAAGCTACCCCCCAGTTATTGTAGATGAAGCTCTGAGACCCCTCACTAAGCTTCCTGAGTGAGCTGTGTTTGGCCCTGGTCCCCGTTAGAGCTCAGGTTCATCTCCTTCCTGTCAGCCAGCCTTGTGCTACAGACAATCCTGGACACAGCTGCCTGCCAGGGATCTCCTCATGGTGCTCAGATAAGGTAACATCGGGTAGAGACCCGAGGAGGAGGCGATGGGTGTGTATGTGTATGGGAAAGGCATCCCTGTGAAAGAGACGGCAGGTAGGAAAGCCCTGGGCATGAGGGAATCTGGACTTGAGAGGTGCGGGGATTCAGGCGAGAGATGGAGCCTATGAGGCTGGGCTTGACAGGAGTGGGGTAAGGAGTCTGGATTCCACCCAAAGAAATAAACTAGAAATGTTTTCGAAAGCACACAGAATGAAAGAGTGAAGGGTGTAAGGGATGGGCAGAGAGAATGTGTGTCCAGAAAAACTGAGATGTGGTCCTGGCTCTGTCTGCACAGGGTGACCCACACCCACTGCAAAGTTCTCTTCCTCTCTTGCTATGGATCCTGTCTCTGTCCCCAGAAGCAGGCGCCCCAGGGAGAGCCCCAGCTCCTCCCCTCTCTGTCCACCTGGTCCATGCACAACTGATTCTATCTAGCCCTGTCTCCAGGTAGGTAAATCCTCCATGTCCACTTTTCCTGGCCCTGGAAGAGGGGGACGGAGAGACTACACAATGTTCTGGTATCTTAGGGCACTGTCCATTGTGTGGACGCGGGGACCGGAGAGGACAGGAGAGGGGAGCTGCTGCTGCTACTTTCAGGTGGAGCACAACCAAAGGACTGTCCCGAAGGACCACCTTCCCTCCCTCCCCTCTGGGGCTCCTCCCTCCCTCCCCCTCCTCCCCACTTGTGCTCCAGGTGTCACATTCCAGTCGTCAGTCAAGTGGCTCTGACTTTGCTCAGTGGCAAGAATCCTGACCAGATCCCAAGGTGTGGACGGCGGCCATGTCTGCCCGTCCTTCACAGCCCACCTGCAGTCCTGTGATCCTCGGTGATCTAACCTTGAGACTTCTTCATCTGGCTTGCAGAAGATCTCTACGGTCTAATTACAGCTAATGCAACACGAAGAAGAATAATCCCCTGTAGCAAATCTCTGTCCGGCACATCCAAAGTAGCTACTGGTAAAAGACTGTAACTGTGTGGGGAGGAGGGGTGTGTGTGTGTGTGTGTGTGTCTGCGTATAGGACTCTAAAGACAAATAATATAAAGGCTACAAATTGTTGAAAACTCCAGCTTCCCCAGGGCTCAGAGAAATATATATTGAAAGCAGCCAGCTTCCAGCGGTCAGAACCCCATGTTATTTAGAAAATGGAGGGAAATGGCTGTATCAAATATAAGCGATGATAATAAAAACTGCTGCGACCTTTTTGGAAGGGAAGCTAGCAAGAGCCAGCAAAATTTTCAAAAGCCGTGTGCCACCAAAGTCCTTTCCCTCCCCAGAATAAGTCCCTAGGAAATCGTCGGATGATTCCACAAGAACAGTTTACAGGAAAACAAGTCAAATCGTCCACAGGTCAAAACTGGCTGAACACACTGTATTGCATGCATGCCAAGGGACACTCTTTAGCCAGCAAAAATGATATAGTCACTGATGAGGAAATGGATTCATCAAACAGGAAGCGAAAAAGTTGGATCACAAAAGCATACAAGTAGTTTCAGATATAAGTTTCTGAGACTCTTGGTAAATGAAGAAAACATTTGGAAAACCTGTGTGCTAAAAGCAAGTCACTCTAGGCTTCCTCTGGATCGAGGGATAATGTGTGTGTGTGTTTTTTCTACTTCTCTGATCTTCCATCATCTCTAAATTTTAAGTGCTGAACATTCAGATAAAAACAGCAATACTGAAGGGCTCTGAGAAGGGAGATGGGTTGTGGTCTCCTCTCCCCTCCTCCCGCCATCTCCAGACAGGAGTAGGCTCCAGCTCTCTGGGACATGTGAGCTTCTATTCTGTTTTCAAAAGCTTCCAAAGAGGCTTCAACATTTCCCTTGACAGCTCATCCCTGGCTTTATCAAATCCACCCGAGAAAGAAATTTCTCCTATGTTTAACCTGAAACAGCAGTTCTGCCATTCGAACCATTGCTTTTTCTCCTCCGCCTAGTAGTGAGAAGAGAAAACAGTGGATGCCATTTGTCCTAATCAAAAGAAATTATTTTCCACGACATCTAAAATTCCACACACCCTTCAAGTTAAACAAGCACACACGCATACACACGCGCGCACACACGAATCACACATACCACCCACCCACACACACACAAATCAGGACATGTTACACTGGCAAAGTTTCATGACCATATGCTAAATTCTGGGCCCCAGGCTCCAAGGGAAGGAGCCCTTTGGAAACCCCAACCCTGTCCTTGTCTGCTCAGAATCGCTGCATGAGGTCATCCAATTTGTTCTTTCTAGTGATGGCACTTCCGGGAGCCTGCCTGGGCAGGAAGGAGGGCTGGAGACTTGCAGGAAGTTACCTTGGACTATTCCAGGTGGGTAGGGAGGTTCACACCCCAGACCTTGGCAGAGAACAACAGTTGGCTGGTCCCCAAGGCTGTGTGGAGGACACAGGCCAGCGAGAACCTCAGCTTTGACCTCCCTGGCTTCTGCTTCTCCGTTCTCTTTCTGTACCCTCCATCTTTTCCTACTAACTCTGTGGTCCTTAACCCTAACACAGCTGACAGGGTTTTTTTTTTTTTTGTTCATTTCTTAGGTGCTAAACACTCGGAAACACCGAAGGGACCCAGGATCCCTGCCAACAGGGTCTTTCGCAAGAGCTTACCTCTCTCCTCACTGAGCAGCATGGGGCCTGTGGATACCACCCTGGAAATCAGGTGGGAAGCTACACATGAGGGCTTTTCCCTCTCTCACAAAGCTGGTTGTCCTAGAGGCATCAACACGTATGGTTTTGTTCTCACCTACACACATAGAGAGGGCTGTTTCCTAGTCTTCTGGGAGCATGTGCTGGGTAGTTTTTTTTGTTGTTGTTGTTGTTTGGTCAGCTTGACTTAAGCTAGGGTCATCTGGGAATAGAGAACCTCAGTTGAAAAAAACAAAAAATAGCCTCTGACAGATTGGCCTGCATGCAAGCCCATGGGGCATTTTCTCGGGTAATGATTGATGTGGAAGTGCGGTGCCACCCACAGTGACCCTGGCTGGTGTCAAGAAGCAATGGCAGCAAACCATTAGATGACGCTCCTCCCTGGCCTCTGCTTCAGTTTCTGCCTCTAGAGTTCTCGCCCTGATCTCCCTTCATGACGGACTGTGATGCCCTTTCTGCTTCAGGTTGCTTTGGTCTTGGTGTTTTACTACAGCAACAGAAAGCAAATTGCAACAGTGCCTTACAGACAGATGGGCTCCTGTCTTTAAGGACTCAAGAGCCTCTCCAAGCAGACAGGCTCCGCCTTCACATTGGGGAGTACTTCCCTTCCCTGGCTGCGTGCTGTGTTTTCCCTGCGTTCTTCCGGCTGCCTACATCTGTAAACTCTCTCCTCCTCCAAACAAGCACATAAGCTCAAGGCACTGTCTCTCACAGATGAAGAGACCGAGGCATGGAGGATGGTCAGAGGCAGCAGAGACCTTGAGCTCACTGGCTAACCAGCCTAAGACAGTGAGTGAGCTCCAGGCACAGTGAGAGACTCTGTTAGCAAGAAAACACTGCTGAGAGCAACAGGAAGATAGCTAATGCCATCCTCCATCTTCCACATGCACACAATGAGAACACACACACACACATACACGCATACACATGCATACACACGCATACACACGCGCGTGCACACACACGCATACACACACGCGCACACACACATACACACGCATACACATGCATACACACGCATACACACGCATATACACACACACACGCATACGCACGCATACACGCGCGCGCGCACACACACACACCACAAGCACACAAAATAATGTTAAACAAATTTTTTTTCCAAATATCCCAAAGCAACTGCGTTTGATAACCATGGTGTTGAGTTGGATTTTTTTTTACATTTTTCCCCCTCAGTTTGTTGAACGCTGGCTAGCTGCTGGGTGAGGACGGCGGTCCGAGGGCGGTGCTGATGAGAAATGTCGTTTGCTCTGGCCTCCTGAATCTGGTTTGTGGTGGGTGCTGTGGATCCATTCAGGTGGCGGTGGCATTGCACTGCACGGCTGCCGTCTGGATGCTTACTGTGCGACACACACGCACACCAGCCCAGAGCACCACACCATCCCAACTTCACCACACCTGTGAGATAAGCCCTTTTTCACTTTGAGCCTGCCTCGGGTCTGAAACACTAAAAAACGGGGGAGTGTTAGGAGACACACAACTTGTCAAAAAACACAAAACAAAACAAAAGCACCTCACAAACCAAGTCTGCTTTGTCTATACTCTTGTCTGCCTGGTCATAGTTAGGTTCTCTGGAGGGGTTTGTCTCTTGTCACTTTCAGACCACAGCTAAGTCCCACCGATGCTGGGATGAGATTCTGCACGCTACTGTCAGGCTCGGGAGAGATGTGGCACTGTGGACTCGACACTTCTTTTGAACCCAAATGTAGTCCTTCAGTAAATTGAAATTAAAGGGAAAAAAAGATGCTCAGACACTTTTGGTGAGGAACGAGACTCATTAACATTCTGAAGCATGGGTATGCTTGACTCTCATCAAGTTCAACATGCAGTGACAATGAGACAGGAATTTCATTATGTGCTCAGCAGGGAGCCTAACACTGAAGCAAGGACCTCTTCATCCAGTACGAGAATGTCCCATGGGAGCATCCCGAGGAAGAATCATCAAAGTTGAGTCTGAAGTTAACTCTCACTACCAAGTGGCTGTATAAGCCTTAAAACACAAGTTGGTAGAACCTGTGCGTCTTTTACAAACTGATTTATCTTCTTTTTTTTCTACTTTTAAAGTCTTTTTAAAAGACATGTGGGTGTTTTGCCTGCATGTCTGTATGCCACACATATTTGGCATTGGAGAAGGCTAGAACAAAGTGTCAGGCCCCTTAGGAATGGAGTTATGGATGGTTGTAAGCCACTATGTGGATACCTGGAATTAAATGGCAGTCCTTTGGAAGAGCAGCCCGGTGCTCTTAAACACTAGTCCGTCTCTCCAGCCACTGCCTTTATCTTTAAAAATGCTGCTATAGGCTGGGTGGTGGTGGCGCATGCCTTTAATCCCAGCACTCGGGAGGCAGAGGCAGGTGGATCTCTGTGAGTTAGAGACCAGCCTGGTATACCGAGCGAGTTCTAGGACAGCCTCCACAACAATACAGAGAAACCTTGTCTCGAAAAAAAATGCTGTTATAGAAAACTCTTTTCTGGTTCAGCTACTAATGGAGCTGTCGTTTTCAAATGCAGATCGCTTGGTTTGCACCAACAAGGTAAAGGTAGTTGCTGCCAAGGCTGGAAACCCAAGGACTATCTGTGGACAAACATGGTGGACAGAGAGAACTGGCTCCTGAAAGTTGTCCTCTGATCTCCACAGACGTGAGATGACATGCATGTACAGACACGTATGTGCTCATTACATACATATGAAAAATGAGTGCATTAAAATTTAAATTAAAAACCTAAAATGATGTCAGTTGGTGGCGGCACAGCCTTTGATCCCAATGCTTGGGAGGCAGAGGCAGGTGGATCTCAGTGAGGTCAAGGCCAGCCTGGTCTACAGAGTGAGTTCCAGGTCAGCCAGGACTGTTACACAGAGAAACCCTGTCTCAAATAAACAAGACAAAATAACAACAACAACAAAACCTTAAAATGAGTAGACAAAGATATTGATAGGAACCCAGAGCTTGTAGCTCAGTGGTAGAGCACGCCCCAAACTGACTAGTTCTAAAATACTTTGTGGCTTAGTCTAGGAGCACACGCAAAGAGTAAACCTACTTGTCTGTACATGCATGTACACACAGGGGCACTCTTAGGGTTGTCCATGTTTCTGGTTCACTTCAATCAGCCACATTATTGGGATGGTTCGGCTCCAAACGATCTCATGCTCTTTCAAAAACTAAGATTTGCCTACTATCAACACTGTCATCATCAAAGAGAACCAAAGTAACACGGCACAGGCCCAGCAGGGGGATTCCCAAAGAACAGTTCCCCAGATGTCTTGAGAAATAACTAGAACACCCAAGATGCACACTTTCAGATGCATGCATACACATATGGATGATTTTTTTTCTAAGACTTGTGTTCCGCTGTTTCCACAAAGGCTTGAAGCAATCACCGGTAATTTAAAGTCAGCCACATTGGTGTATCACAGTATCTTGTATGATAAAAATTGCTATGAAATGATTATTTTTGTTCATATATAGGGAAAAACATAAAGCTTTGTGAAGAGCAGGGAAAAAAGGGTGATATTTGGCTTAAAAACATAAAACTGCTTTTTCTATGAGTTTAATGTGATAAAAAAAGACATCAGAAGCAAATGGGACCAAGAGAAATTGTTTTAAATTTTTGTAGAACAAAAGAAACACATGAAGGAGTTGGAAAGGGCCTCCACGACAGTGGTGATGCTGGTTGGGACTTGGAGTGACTGTGGTAGTAAAAACACCAAGGCTGCTTTGGGAAATGGATGACTAAAAACTGAAGCATAAAGTTGCCATGCAACTCAGGACCTCTTCCCAGGTTCTTTGTCTCAAGGGAAATAATATTACATGTCTGCACGGAGACTTGTATGTTCAAAGACCTGTTCCAGTAGTAATAGTCAAAAGTGGAAATAACTCAATTCCACGTCTGTCAGTGAATGACCAGACTAAAAAAATGTGGTAGATTCATTAGCAGGTTTTCACTTGGCACTAAAGAATGGATGAAGTTCTGAAACATACCCAGAGAAAACTTGGAAGCACACTAAAGAGAGCTGGCCACAAAGACCATATGTTTTGGAACCCATGTATATGTATACATATATATATATATATACATATATATATATATATATATGCAATATCCATAACACAGGAAACCAACCTACAGAGTTTGAAAATAGCTCTTTGTTTACCTGAGGGACTGAGCAGAAAGTTTGTTAAGTCAAGCAGAAGGCTATACCAATTATGACAGTGGTGCTCTTAAAGATTATTGTGGAGACCAGGGGTGGTGGTCCATTCCTGCCTGTCAATCCAGGACTATAATCTCAGACCTTAGGAGGGACAGCTGTGAGTGTAAGGTTAGCTTTGGCTGCACCGTAAGACCCTGTTTCAAAAACTAAACAGCAACCTCAAGGAGATTGTTGAGAGCTTTGTGCAGATCTATAAATCCACCAAGACTCATTCGACTTTATGCATAAAATAATAGATGTCCCTTAACAATGGTGCTTTAAAAACGACAAGGCTAGTTTCACTTTCTTGGTCTTCTGGTTCCAATTCGTAACAACGAGCAAAGACATTGACAAAGTTGCATAGCTATTACCACAATGTGGAGTCTATTTTGTGCAGAATAAGAATAAAATGCAAGAAATAGGCTGAGACAGGTGGATGTCTGTGTTTGAGGCCAGCTTGGTCTACATAGAGAAATTCTGTCTCAAACAAACAAACAAACAAACAAAAAAGAATAAATTAAAAATGGTATTTGTCATAAATGAAAAGTTTACTTAAATTGAAGACTTTATAGGCATCTACAGGAAAGTGGCAGGAAGTCTCTATAGAAGCCGGCAAAGGCCTGAGCAAACTGGTTCACTGTCCCCTTGCAAAACAAAATCAGAAGTGCAGTCACCTTTGGCCATCTGCCAGGGATGAGTCACAGATGCCCCTGGACACCAAATCAGCAGGTCCTTGCATAAAATGGCCTCAGATTTGCATGTAATTTGCACACATGCTTTCATATATTTCAGAAGCTCTCTGGATGACACAATGTAAATCGTTGCTTTACATATTATCTAACGGATGATAACACTAGGAAAAAGGGGTGAATGTATTCGAAGCAAATGTAGCTTTTCCGACCCGCAGTTAATGTGACGGGGAACTCATGAACACAGGGGACTGAGAGATGCCCAACATGAACCAAAAAACCTGCACTTGAGAAGTGGCAATTTTCACGTATTGAAACGGCAAAGTTCTTAAATAGGATGCTACATACCAACATGGATATGGCGAGAGAAGTCCTCTCTGTGGCGTTCGATTAAACACAAAGAAGGACATCCCCTTAGGAAAACAACTGGGCATTTGTCCCAAAGCCTAACGATGACTTATGACAGCTAATCTTCATTGTCAACGTGACTAGATTTGGAATCACTACACCCCCTGGGAACGTCTGGAGATGGGTCCCCAGGGGGAGACACATCTTAGATGTGAGTAGCTCCCTCCCTCACAGGCTGAATATAAACGGAAAAGAAGATGTGAGTGGAAAAGCAGCGTTTGAGTCTCTCCGCTTCGAGCATGACTGCAGACCCGGTGCGTCCAGCTACCTCTCATTCCTGCTGCCTTCCCAGCAGCAGGATGGACTAATTTTCCACATTGTGAGCCAAAGGAAACCCTTCCTCAAGTTTCTTTTATCACATGTCTTGCCACAGCAATGAGAAAAGTAACTGACATAGACGTATGATCCTTAATTAAACAATTTCAGCTCCAATAAATGAAATACTAGCTTAAGGTACTCGTTTAACACACAAACACAATACACAGAGGCATTTACTTGGGTGGTCGTTGTATCTATAAATAACAACGGACTGTCTAGCAAGCGGATGTAGCAAACTAGCTGTCTTAGTTTGGGGAGGAAAGGGTTTATGTCATCTTACATCTCACAGCCCATCATCCCCGGGAAGTCAAGGAAGAGCCCACAAGCACACAAGGCAGGAACCTGGAGGTACCTGATTCAGAGGCCATGGGGGAGTGCTGCTTCCCAGCATGCTCAGCCTACTTTCTTATGGTACCCAGGACCAGCAGCCAGGGGTGGCCCCTCCCACATCAGTCGTCATGAGCTAACTCCTCCCACACCAGTCACCATGAGCTAGCCCCTCCCACATCAGTCATCATGAGCTAGCCCCTCCCACACCAGTCGTCATGAGCTAGCCCCTCCCACATCAATCATCACAAGCTAGCCCCTCCCACATTAATCATCACAAGCTAGCCCCTCCCACATCAGTCGTCATGAGCTAGCCCCTCCCACATCAGTCGTCATGAGCTAGCCCCTCCCACATCAATCATCATGAGTTAGCCCCTCCCACATCAGTCATCATGAACTAGCCCCTCCCACATCCATCATCATGAATATCAGGACAATGCACCACAGGCTCGTCTCCAGGTCAGTCTGGTAGGACCATTTTCTTAATTGAGATTCACTTTTGTGGACAGTTGACACAAAACTAGCCACCACACTAGTCCACACTCATAAAGGAATATCAAAAGACCCATTAAGAACATCTATAAGGAGTTAGTAGTACCACCAGGGGGCACTTGAGTTATCCATACCTAATGGGAGGGAGGACACAAAATGTTAGGATGTAAACTGTTAAATGAGAAAAGTCACAGTGTGATCCAGTATCATCTCAATTGGTGAAATGTAGGACAAAGCCTGGAGGAAATTATACATCATATATGTTATACATAAAACTACTGACCGCCTATTTCCACCTCGATGTAGGAGGGATTTTTCAAGTATTCATTGAAATCGTACATCTATAACCAGAAACACAGTCTAGTATGTTCTTAAACACAGTCTAGCACAACCTTCAAAGCAAAGGACCACAGGTGGATACTCTAGACTAGGGCACTGCTCTAATCACTACAACCTTACCTCTCAGAAGCTGGTACTAACTTAAGGGGCATGATGAACTGGCATGACACATTAAGGCTGCAGCTAACTAGAAGGCTATCTCCTTATGGTTCCTAGGCTGTTTAAACCACCAGTAAACTGACAAGCTGGCAACAGTAAAGTACTTTGCTAGTAAAAAGTTAGCAAGCCATCTATGAACGCACTGTCATTCTTATTCCTATTACCCGAAGATTACCTGTTGCATTTGATCACAGCTTAGCAGAGCAAGGACTGCCTGCCTCAAACCACAAGAAACCAGTCAATTAAGTCAGCTCAGACCCAAAGTCAGTCAATTCAATGAAACAAGTAAGGCTTTTTTTCTTTTTAAGTGTCAGTTGGCATGGCATGAGGTGAAATTGACTGACTGAGCTCCCCAGCTTCCGACTGACTTGCATAGCATTCTGAACACGCCAACATGCAGCCACTTTGCTTAAAC